AAGCGAACTGCAACAGTGAACAGTGAGCCTCTGGGGAGGGGGCTGAGTGGGAGCAGGCCATGGGGCAGAGCAGGAGCGGAGCGTGGCCTCGGGGAGAGGAGGAGAGAGGGGGTGGAGCAGTGGGCAGGGCGATGATCTGGGCGCAGGGGAGGTTCCGGCACTCATATCCGGCCTCCCCAAATGCCGGAGACATGCGCTGCCCATGGCCAGCACCAACCCTGTGCAACGGAGCAAACAACCAGAGCAGGTTCATAACCTCATCCTGGAGCTTTACGGCCCTGTCACTCCTGGGAACGCTGCAGGGGGAAGGGCTCAGGGAGGAATAAACCCAGACACCCACCTGCCACTCTGTGGTTTTCTCCTCCTCTTTAGACGTCAGAGCCAGGGCCTCGTCCAGCTCCTTCCTCAGAGGGCCCAGGGCTCCCTGGAGTTTCACCTGCAGGGGCATCGTGTGGGATAAACAGCCATTAGTCTGCCTGTGCGATGGGTGGACAGCACTGTCCATATTGGCATTTCATACACCAGCAGTAAATACCCTGGAAGCAAGCAGCAGACTCGGCTCTGCCGGCCCCAAAGGCCTCATGGGAGCAGAGACGCCGGTCTCAGAGCAGGGGCTCTGCTTCCTGCAGACACTCAGGGCTTCTCAGAGCCTGTGTTTGAGCTAAAGCTTCCCATCACTGAGCACAGGCCAGAGGGGAAAGAGCTGGGAAGGTTCTGAATGATCCCTCCTGCCAGTGAGAGTGGAGAGGTTGGGACAGCACCTCGCTGCCCTGTGCCCAGACCCAGGCCAGGAACAAGACCCCACTGTGCTCTCGTCTGTCCAGGCTCCCATGTGGCCTCCCTCAGGCAGCAGTGAGCACTTGAGCCAGCGCAGTCCCATTAACTGTACACATGAGCATAGCTAGGAGGGGAGCAGGGGGCGCGGCTGCTCCCCCGTGAGCACATTTTCTAAAAGTGGCCGGAGTCAGGTTTTGCATGGCCCTCCCCCATCCCCAGCCCCGCTTGCTCGTTTCAGGCGGTGTCGGCTGGTTTCCTGGCTCCCCCCCGCCCGCAGCTGCCCAGCTCGCTAAGCCGAGCCTCGCTTGGTGCACGCTGCCCAGGCAGGGGTGGGCTCTGCCGGGAGGGGAAGGAACAGCAGCACAGCCCCCCAGCATGGCGGGGGATGA